GAAAACTCCTGTGCATCCTTCAAAACTCAACTAGCRTCACTTCCTGGGGGCTGCCTCCTCTCGGCCTCCTGCCTCTGGACTCCCACGGCAGAGCTGCTCTGATGATCTGGCACCCACCCCAGGTGCCTGGCAGAGAAGCGCTCAGGGAAGGCCTAGAGCCCGCCGAGAGGAGAGAGGTGGCCACCAGGGAAGAGGAAGAGACAGACAGGAAGGAGGACGAGGACAGCTGCTCCGGGCTCCTCCCAGCTCCTGGTGACATGTGCTGGGCCTGAAATAGACACGWGGGGGCCTTGGTGGTGCTCTGCGCGGCCCAGTGCCAAGCAGCCCCCTCCCGCCAGGCCTTGGGCGCTTCAGCTAGCTCCTCTCCCAGGGCTCTGCCCCTGCAGCCAAGACCCTCCCCCCGCCGTGCCAGGCCTTGCTCCTCTGTTCCTGCTAACTTTGTTTTATAAATAAATTATATAAATAGGCTCCTCCGATTCCTCGGAGCACGCAGTGTTTAAGGACTGGGGCACCGCTGCCGGCGTAATTGTACTACCGAATCCATCAGCTGCCTAATTACCATTCATTTTGCATTTATTTCTGCTAATTAAAAAGAGAGAAACTCCTAACAACTTTTACGTAAATACTATATTTGTTCTATGTAAAGATGGGATGCTAATTTGCTGGTGATTAGCTGATTATCTAATTTTATAGCTGTCACACAGGATGGCCCTGTCTCCCCTTGGCACCCCAGACACCACTCGAGGCCTCGGAGCAGGTGTAAGGGGAAGAGGTCCAAGGGGGTGCTTGGGCACTTAGGGGGCCTGTCACCAGGAGCACCAGGCTGCACCGGTGTTCAGCGGGACCGCGCRCTGATGGATGGAGCGCCTCCACCGTTTCTGTACACAGAGAAATTGAGGCCCAGAGAGCCCTAGCTGCCTCCTAGCAAGACAGTGGCCGAGATGACAGCTACTGCCATGTTTGGAGTCCCACTCCCGTGCTCAGCCCCGGTATCCTGCTCTCATCAGGAGGAATTTGCTGGAAGATGGCTGAAGAGCTCTCAGGCCCAAACTCCAGCCCATAAGGAGGAAAGGGCTTAGCCTGGTCTGAGCCCATGAACCAAACCACACCTTCTGTGTAGTCTTCTAGAAACCTCTGCCTCTTCCCATTTCCCTGCCCAGTGTCCAGGCTCTTGGGCACTGTTGACCGCCTCGACGAGTGTGAGGAACTAAATTTCAAATTTTAATATTATGTATTTATTTTTATGTGGATTAGAAAAAAATATATATATAGATATATAATTAGTTCATCAAACCCCTGATTTCACAGATAATATTGCTGTAGATGAAGCTAAATAAAAAGAAAGTGATTGGTTTAAAGTGATTTAAATAATGATACATAAATAATGAGGATGGAGCACAGATGTGGCTTTCCGTGTCTGGCACCTGAAGTGGCAGACACTGGAGGAGGCCTGAGGGGGAGGACCAGGCCACAGGTTGCAGGAGCAGAGACGCAGGGCAGGGTTGGCTGGTCCCTGGCTGTGGGGCCAGCCTCGCCCCGCCCGCTGACAGGCCGATAGTGCCCCTGGACGGTGCCTCCTCTTCCTCGCCCTGTAGGGAGCAAACAGCTCACAAGAGTGGGGTCCCTTCTCATGCCAGGGGCAGTCTAAATGGGAGTCCCCACCATTGAGGTCTCCTTGGGACAGGCCCAACCATCTCTAGGACCTGCTTCTCCCATACCCCTGCCAGCCAGCCCTGGGAAGGAGAGGCAGTCAGGAGACCCCGTTTTCTGCCAGGGCTGGGTTCCCGGTGTACTCAGGGCAGTTGGGTGGGAAGTATGAATGGTTATCAAAGGGGACCTAATGCAGGGCATGGTGATGCATCCCTGTAATCCCAGCACCTTGGGAGGCTGAGGTAGGAGGATCACAAGTTCAAAGCCAGCCTCAGCAAAAGCAAGGCCCCTAAGCAATTCAAGGAGACCCTGTCTCTAAATAAAACACAAAATAGGGTTGGGATGTGCCTCAGTGGCCAAGTACTCCTGAGTTCAATCCTCAGTACCAAAGTTGTTTTTAAAAAAAAAAAAAAAGAGAGAGAGAGAGAGAGAGAACGAGTTTTACTTAATGCTTGGTCACTGAGGTCACTGGAGTCTCACAGGAAGATAAAACTCTTCTAGACCCTCCAGAGAGGTCACAGAGAACACTAGCACCAAGGCCAGGCTGTTTGGGTTCTTATCCGGACTGTGTGACCTTGGGCTGGCTTCCTGACCTCTGTTTCTTCACCTATTCAAATGGACACGGCACCTAACTTCTAGGTTGGGGTCAGATTAAATGAATTAATTCACAGAGTACTTAGATGGTGCAGATAAAGCCCCTCTAGTATCAGCCCCTTAGGACATCATTATTACCCTTAGTTCCATCACTGTCACCGTGACTGGAGGGGCACTCCTGGGCAGTGTGTGAAGCTGGTGGAAGCTGGGAGTCCCTGAGAGCTGTGGCACGTTCTGGGTTGGGGCACACAGGTGCCATGGGGAGCTTTCACCACGGGCATTTTTGGCAAACTGTTTAAGAGGCCAAAATGGGTTGAAAAACGGGTTCAGGGCCCTGAGCCTCCTGGGATTTGTTGTGATTTCTGATTCTATATATATATATATATATATATATATATATATATATATATATATATATATATATGAGGGTCTCCAAAATTGTGTAAGCTTCAGCCCCTGTAAGCCCAAACCACACTGGCTATTATGTTCCTGTGGCTGGTCTTGTACCTCCCACCTTGGTGGCCCCTCCCGGAGGATGGCCCCAGCTCTGGGGCTGGAGGGACCTAATTTCGCTCTCCTAGGCAGCCCACCATGTGCAGACTCAACCCTGAGCTGGCTCCACACTTCTCACGGCAGACTGCAGGAGCCCCAGGGGGCAGACAGAGAGAAGGAGCCTTGGGGACAGAGTGCTGGAGGCCCCCTGCTGTGCCTGCTCTGTATAGGCYGAGTGCCCTGGATGCAGGCTGGAAGCCCCTCCTTGCCCTTGCCCCTAGTCTGTGCCCCAGTGGGTGGCACAGGAGGGCAGTGGCTGCTGGCTTGGAACAGTAAGATGGCCGACTGTGTGCCGGGCCCAGGGTTTAGGGCCGGGCAGGACCTGGGTTCCTACTCTCTGGGAACTCTCAGGGTTGCTCACACCTGGAAGGGAGAGGAGTGGGCAGGGGAAGGTGGTGTCAGACCTCATCACCCTGGCATCTCAGAAAGGGGTGCAGAGAACCAGTGCATGGGAAAACTGGAGACTCAGGAGTGGCCCACGGGAGGCTGGGCCAGTGGCTGAGAGGCCCCCAGGTGGGCATCGTGGCCCCTTGGTGTCCCCGCTGCAGCAGGGCCTCTCTCCACCCCAGCTCTGACAGGGACATTTATAACTCACAGCTGTGCGGTCCTGTGCCCAACTGACTGTGGTAAACCGATCTGGCTTCAGGAAGTCCCGTCCCAAGGCTACTCCCCACCCGACCCCCACACTCAACCCTCACCTCCTGACACCCACATCCTGTGCTCAGCAGGAGGGGCGGGAAGGGCAGGCAGCGGGGACAGCCAGGGGCCCAGCTGAGGTCTCCTGCCTGTGGCAGACCCAGAGAGGACAGACAGTGTTGGTGAGGCCTGAGAGCTTTGAGGCCACCAAAATCATCAGGGCAAGCTCCCAAGGCACATACAGGGACACCCAGGCCCAGAGAGGGCTGGCAGCTGTGCCAAGAGTCCACAGGATCAAGGACAAGAGCTCAGGTGTGGGGCTCAGGGACGTGTTCTGTGCTTCTAGTCCCCGTGGACTGACTCCAGCCATGGGAAGCCTGATGGGAAGGCCAAGACAGGACCAGAGGCCTCAGGGAATGCTGAGAAATGAGCCATCGTGAACCCTGGGCCTCTGTGTCACTGCCCTCCTTTGGGACACCTGTCCTACCTGGCTCTTCCCAGCAGTGTTCAGGTGTGAGGCTAGTTGTGACCAGTGCTGGAAGGAGAGGCCCACACTAGGAGCTTCCAGCACACCATGACTTTGAGCCCTCTACCTCTACCGGCCCTGGTCCTTGGGCCCTGCCAGCCTACTGCCCCTCTCATTCTCCTGTCTGTGGAGGGGGCTGACACACTGCAGCCAGTTTGCCAAAGCTTGGCCCAGGAAACTCTGGTAGCCTGTGACGAGATTCTGGAATTGGGTAGTATTATTAAGATCTATTTATTAAGATATGTTAGAAATACATAACCGGCATGCCGGGATTCATGGCCATGATTGATCAGAGCTTAAAACCAGGGTATTGATGGAGTCATCTGCAGGTAGGCCTCAGTTCTTACCCAAAATTGCCGAGGGCACGGCAGAAGGCCTGAAGTTTGGGAACACATAGAGTCAGAGGTCACCAGGGCTCTCGTGGGCTTTAGACTTCGTTTCTGGGCCTCCCTCACCAGCGCTAAACCAAGGCAAGGCGTGCAGGAGGGGAGAAGCAGGGTGCCCTGCTGGTTTTCCAAGGAGGCGTGCAGGGGTGTTAAAGTGTCCTGGTGAGGAATTCATGAGGAAGGAATTCAGGCAGGGGTCAAGAGTGGCTTTGGAACTGACTGCCGGCCTGCAGTCGTGTGAGATAATTCCCCGAAGCCAGGCCCCGCGCAGAGAGGAGACCAGGCCAGGGCTTGGTGTGCCCTGCTAAAAATACCCCGACAGCTTTTCTCCGTCACCCTGCCTGGGGACCATGCAGGAAGGCCATGGCTGTCTGCTCTTCTCACCAAGAAGAGACACAATAGCCGCGGAGCCCCAGAGCTAACAAGACGTGTGTGCGTGTATTTTTTAAATCTCACCAGGAGGAGTCGTCTTGCTCATTGGAGGCTGCTGGGTGGGAGGATGTCGCGGGCTGATCCATCAAGCATCCCACAGTGGGCTTAAGTGGCCTCAGCGGCCACGGGAACTAGTCCAGTGGTGGGACAGAGAGAGGAGGGGCGGGCAGCTGTCTGTGTGCCTGGCTGCTCAGGCGTGTCCCGTCTCTCCCCTGTGTTCCCAGGAGGAAGAAGGGGCCCGTGGCATCAGACCAATGCTGCAAGGTGTGTGAGGGAAGCAGAGGAGCCTCCCCCGTCACTGAGCTGCCAGACCCTGAAAGGTAACACCAGATCCTCACGGCCCTAGTGCCCAGGTCATGYGAAACCTGGGCGGGGGCGAGGTCGGGAAGTGATGGGTGGACCCCAGCCCAGGGGTGTGGTCTTCCCCCAGCTGTTCTTGACCTGGCCGCGGGCTTCCCTGTACCTCCCTGTGAGCTGTCCTTACGACCACAAAACACTCTGGGCTTCTGGGTGCCTTGACTTGGGTGCTGGCCTCAGGCCCCCTGCTTACTCTGATTCTTGAGGTTCTGTGAATGGGGTGGATCAATTATTCTTTGGAGATAGGTGACATTAGCAGCCTGGCCCAGTTTGAACTCTCTGAGGGTGGAGCCAGGGCCCCAGGGCGGGCGGGGGGCAGGGATGGAGCATGATGTGGCCCCAAGTTCAGCAGCAGGTGGGGCCTGAGAGGACTGTGGAAGGCAGACGTCCAGAGCTGCTTCACTGTGCCTGTGCGCTCCTTTGTGACAGCATTCAGACTCCACGCTGCTTCCCTGGCAGCCCTGGGCAAGAGTTATCTGCATGCTTAGACCATGAGACCCAAGCACAGGAAGTGACTGGGTCTGCCAGGGATCTCTGGCAGAGCCAGCTCTGACCACCCTATTGACTGCATCTGCATCTCCACTTTACCATGCACTGGTCTGACCCATCCTCCCGGAGAAGTACTGCTATAGAACCCAAGCCACTGCTAGGCTCCACTGTGTGCTTGTGGTGAGATTCATCCATCCATCTGTCCACACATCAGCCTTCTCCCCACCTATCCATGTATCTACCTGTTCTTTCTTCTATCTATTCATCCAGCTATTCACTCACATGTCCATTTTCCCCCCACTTATCCATTTGTCCATCCATTCATCCATCCATCCAGCCATCCATCCATCCATTCTTGCACCATCTACTCACCTATTCTTCTATTCATTTATTATTCATCCATCCATCCTTGTACCTAAATACCTCTACCCACCCATCCATCTAGTCCCACCCATGAATCCATCCACCTCCATCCATCCATCCCCCTTCCTATCCGTCCATCCACCCATTCGTCCATCCACCCGTTTTCTATTTAATTCATTCATCAGACACACACAGACTTTTGCACCAGGTCAGACCTGCACTAAGGGCTGGGTTTTGGAGATGAGCAGAGGCCAACTCCGGATCCCAGAGCTGGGCTCACTACCGTGGGGCGGTGCTGACTGCACAGCGCTGGGCACTGCCCAAGGGAGACAGGAGGGGTTGTAGTTGGGCCCTCAGCAGGTGTTCAGGGAGAGGCACTGTCCTTTTATTCATGCCTCAAGTCGCTGTGCCAGGACCTCTTGAAGCTTGGTGGATAATAGCAGGGAATAGACAGACAAACTCCCCCCTCAGGGCGCTTCTGTTCTTTTGAGGAGATGTGGACAATGAATTCCTGAAAGTCGAATCTCTCCTCTGTGAGGTGATGCTAAGTGTTAAGAAATGACTGCAGGAAAGGGCACAGGGTCTCCAGGTGGGAGAGCAGATGCCACAGGCAGTGAGCTGGGGTGAGAAGCAGGGAAGCCGGGTGCTGGTGCTCTGTGAGGGGCACCAGGTGAGAGGCGGTGGGGACCCACTCATGGAGGTGACAGTGTGGAGTAGATCTCTGATGGTGGAGGCGTAGAGGAGGGCGTGGTGGGGAAGAGGTGAGAAGCTGAGAGTCAGAATGTGTCTGAGACTCCGGGGACAGCCTGCTGGTGGGCGAGAGGGGAGGGTTACAGACCGACCGCCAGGGAGGGCTCTTGGGTTGGGGAGAAGGGAGGGGTCATCTCAGCCTGGGAAGAATGGCCGGGGAGGGCTGATCAAAGCCCAGGAGTTGGGCTTCAGACGTGGAGTGCGAGAGCCTTTGAGCCATCCGGGTGGAAAGGCTGAGTGGCGGTGGGGTTGGGAGAGAGGTCCCGGCTACAGATGCAGATTTGGGAGTGTGGTGCACAGCTGGAGTTGCAGGCTGTGCGGCTGAGGTCACCTCGAGGTGCGGGGAGGGAGTGAGGGTGGGGGACCTGAGTCTGAGTCATGGCCATCTGGCCCCCAGGAGGAGGGCAGGTGAGGAGGAGGCAGTGGCAGTCAGAAAAGTGCAGCCCTGGGAAGAGGCAGACAGAGGAGCAAGCTCTGAACGGACAAGAGTCTGTCTGTGTTACTGGACAGAGCAGGGAAGGGCACTGCAGGCGGGTGGAACAGAGGGAATGCACACCAAGGCTCTGAGGTCTCCATAATGAGCTGTTTGGAGGGGAGGATCCAAGGCCTCCTCCTCGCACCCCTGGCCACACAGGTGTGAAGTCCTGGAGGTACCTGTCTGGTGTGCAAGTGGCCCCTGACCTGGCTCTCCCTGTCCCCCTAGCCAGCACCCCCACAGCCGAGCCTCTTGCCCTCCTGTCTGCCCACTTTTGCACTTTCTTTGAAGCAGCCTTACCCAGCTCGCCTGCTTTCTGCTGCCACTCAGGGTTCTTGGGCTCATGGGACACCCCCTTACCTGGAGCACTTGTCTGAAAACACAGGGCTCAAGGTGGCAGCTCAGGTGCTACCCACAGGGGAAGGACACCCAACAGCCTTATGCAATTCCTAAGCACCCAGTGGCTCCTTTATCTTAAAGGAACAGCAACCGTCCTGGGCCGTGAGTGGATGAGGAGCAGATCTCTGTCTCTCGGTGTCTGTCTCTGTCTCTCAGTCTCTCCCAGGAGGGCCCCCCTGGGCCAGGGTGGGCTGGTAGGACCCTGGGGAGCAGGTGTGTCCCAGGAGCTGGGGCCTGCTCTCCCTCCCTCAGCTCCCAGACACACCCCCACAGCAGGAGGACTTCGGCAGCTGCAGTGCCCTGAGCTGGCACTGGGACAGGGAGCCCCAGAGACCCCAGAAACTAAGCCAGGGGTCTCTGAGCTGTCCCTGTCTGTATGAGGTTGGCCCCTCATGCCTCTCACCTCTCCCTCGGGAACAGAGTGCAGGGTCTCTTGGGCCTTTTGTCCACCTCACCTCCTACCCACCTCTTGCAGGGTCGCCCTGACCACTGCCCGCTGGAGCCTGCTAACCGCCTGCTTTGTGCCAAACACAGGGCTCAGGTTGGCACCTACAGAGGTGACAACAGAGGGCTCCCCTGTCCCACAGCTGCCAGTCCTGTTGGAACGGTGGGGGCCGGGGACAGAACCAGACACTTCCATGTCACCAGGAGTCTGCAGCCTCCGGCAGGAAAGGCACCCAGTCGGGCCTCCAGGAAGGCTGAGGAGAGAAGTGCTGAGCTGGGCAGGAGGTCAGAGCTCGCGTGCCCAAGCCATGGGAACCACAGGGGCAGAGTCCGTCGGCCTGCGGAAGCCACTTGGTGTGTCGTGACTGGGTTGTGAGCAGAGTCTCCGGAGACGTCTCCAGGCTGAGACTTGCATGGAGCTAGGCAGGGGCTTGCTGACCCCCTCCCGAGGACACAGTGAGGGAGATGCCCCTCTGACTGTGCACTGGGGACTAGGAAGCCACTTGCATAGTGCAGGACTGGTGTTCATAGCAGGACACTGCGGTCATCTAATTAGTGTGGCAGGGCAGGGGACAGGTAATCCTGTATCTTCGGACTCACTTTTCTGTAGGCCTGTCTCTAGCTGTTTTCTCCCTCAATCCTTCCCCTGCCTCCGTGGCATCAGGCAGGACCATCCTGTCCCCCTGCAAAGCCCACAAGCTTATCAGAGCCCTCTCCCATCTCCCAGGCTCCCCTAGAATAGCCAGACTTACAAACCACCTCTCCAACATCCTAGTTTGCAGGTGAGGAAACTGAGGCCCAGAAAAGGTAAGACACTTGCCCAGGGCTGCACAGCAAGGTAGAGGCAGAAGTGGCTCCCGATTCCGCCCTGGACCCTGCCCACTTGCGCTTGGAGCACCCACTGCTTTGGGTCCTCTAGCAGCCTCTGGCACTGGCTCCGCTCCGACTGAAGGCACCAAGTTCCCTCCATTGTGCCTATTGTTTAAATATAGATTACTAATGAAATGCCTCTTCATTGCCTTCCCAGTGAATAGTTTCCGTGTAAAGTTAATTTGCAGTGTTATGTAAATTCTGTTTAACTTCAATCAAGTTTCTAATTATGTTTTTACCGCAGTAATTCCCATTTGATTTGTCATCTCCTGTTAGGTATTTAATGTTGGTGGGCGGGCTGGCTTTCTGTCTGTCTCTCCGTTTTCCAAGGCCCTCTCCCCCTGCGACCTCCTGTTGGCCCCTCTGCCTTTCTCCTGGGCTCCGGCTTCCTCTCCCGCCCTCCACCTCCTTCCCGCTCCCGCCTGCCTTCCCTTCCTCCTCTTCCCTCGGATTTCCTCCTTTCTGCCCTCCTCGTGCTCTCTGTCCCTCCCTCTTCCTCCTCCTCCTCTCATCTCCCCCTCCCTCTTTTTTCTATTCTCCAGGTTTTCCTCTTTCTGTGTTTTCTTTTTTGGTACTGGGGATTGAACCCAGGGTGCTTAACCACTGAGCCACATCCCCAGCCCTTTTTATGTTTTATTTTGTGACAGGGTCTCACTAAGTGGCTTAGGGCCCAACTAAGTTGCTGAGGCTGGCCTCAAACTTGTGATCCTCCTACTTGAGCCTCCAGAGCCGCTGGAATTACAGGTGTGCCCCACCACGCCCGGCGCTTTCCTGCCCTTCTCTGCCCCATCTTGGTCTCTCCCTGTGCTCTTGTGCCTCCTCCGTGTTTGTCTGTGACCCTCCCTGTGTTCCTCCCTTCCTCACTTTTCTGCCTCTTCCCTCATTGCCCATCCTCCTTCCTCCTCCACTGAGAGCTGCTACAAAACAGGGCTTTCTGGGCAGATGGAGGAGGAAGGGGAGAGCTCACTGGGTGTGGGTCACCGGGCTGGGGCCGGCAGACAGCCCTGTGCACCCCTGCGGAGCAGGGCCTGGCCTCCAGAAGCCTGGTTAGGAGCTCTGTGGAGGACAGGCCCAGCCCAGCAGCGGGGGCCATAGCTCCTGGGCTTGTGGGTAGGGACTGATGGAGAACGAGGACTCTGGAGCTGGATTCTGTGGGTTCAAATCCCAACTCCA